AAATCTTTCCAAAGCCAACAAGGAAAGGATTTCTTCCTCCGATTGAAGTGGAGTTAACAAAGTTGTGATGAAGCGCTGCGTGCCGAGACCTGCACAGAGCCAGCAATGAGCACGTATTAAGATGAGAAGAGTCATTGTAAAACTCAGGGCAAAGGGGCTGGGCCCATCCTTCTGCATACTGATATGTACCTTATTATTTCAACAGCAGGCAAACATCAAGACCAGATTGTTTACAAGTATGTGGCAGTAAACCTTGACGGTATTTTGTTTCTTCTGTAGTTAGTGATGAGAGAGCAAATGATTATGAAAAGCAACTGAAGTACTTCTTCCCAGATCGGATGATTCATAACTCCTTGTTGATGCTGTTGTCTCCAAACCAAAGGTTGTTGAAGATGGTGAGAGGAGGAAGGAGGAAGAATACAAAAGACATAAAGAAGAAGTGATGCGGCGCACTTGTAGCAATCTCTCTGCAATCCTGAGCCACCCCTATGTGCATTCCTTAAGTTGCACATGAAATGAGCACACAGTCCGAGACACGGGTAGGAACAGGAGTAAAACAATAAAAAAAGTACAAAACAATGCCTACATGAAGAACAGAAGACTTAGTGCAAGCAGTAGTCTAGACACTGGGTCATGCATTTAAAGCCTATTCATAATTCCTCACTTTAAACCATGACTATGTATGCCCCAAAATGAATAAGCCCAAGTATAACTCAGAGAAATCCTTGTCAGAGCACAAAGACCAAGAAAGGCGCATGTTAACACGTGCTCCATCCTCACCTGCGTTAGTCAGAATAACTAGAACAAAGCCAGTGCAGCTGTGCCAGTTTACACCAGTTTAAGCTATGACCTGTTTAAACATTCTTGGATGGAGTCCAGTGATGGAGTCTAGACATTGTTATTCAGAAATAACTTGATCTTCATCTTTTGCTTTTGTACAGAAAGGAAGAGGAAATGTATGTCACAAAGCAACATTTCATGCAGAACAGCAGGGGAAGACAGGATGGTAACCCAATTAAAGGCAGAGCAGAAATTTTTCTAAGCCATTTATAAAGAAACATAAACTATCTCCATCCTCCGGTGACTGAATGAAAAGAGATGGCATGGAGCAAGGAATCAGGTGATCGGCCTTGCAAAATCTTCTTCGCCTCAGAGAACAAAATTCAAGGGCCCATTTCATCAGCATTGCCCCTTCGGTCACTGCTGCAGCCTTCTGCTTTATCTCCCTCAGTTCCTTATCTGGCAGACCCAGCACCCAAGAAAACAAGTCTTGCTACTGTCTGCTATCTCATGTTTGCAAGTTAAAATCTAAAGAGCTTGCAAGGTCTTCTGTGTTTAGAGGCTATGTCAAACAGCACTGGGGTATTTTGCCCCTAGTTGCTTACTAGAAATATTGAAGGAAGAAAATCCCTTCTCTAATATTTGATATCTTTCTGCTCTTCATTGCCTCTAGGTCTCCTGGTCATAAGGTTTTATTTTTAGCTCACTTCTCTTTATGTAACTTCAGCACGCTCCTTCCACACAAATATCTGCACTAAGAGCAGGCAGAGGAGGGGTTCTTTGAAAAGAACATCTGTGAAGTCTTTGTGCTACAGCTTCCCGAAGGCCCTGACATTCTGTCTCTTCCTTTCCTTCTACATCAGCTTCTTGTCTCCTCGCATGCAGCTTTTAAGTATATTTTTAGATAGCTGAACAATTCAAACAGCTTGCCCAGAGCCAGTATTTAAACTTAGACCTATATTTTCAGAAAAAAATAGATTTAAAGTTAGCATGGTTATTCAGAAGTGTCAAAAAGGTCCATTTCCTGCTGACATTTTTATATACCATATCCTTGCAACTGCTTACATTTCAGATGAAAAAATTTGTTATAAAGAAATACATCATTTATTTCAAGAGAAAGAAAGGAGGCCACTAAATGCTATCATAAAATAGCACTTTTATTTATTTACCTGTACTTCTGAGGTTAAGCTTAGAGCTTTAGTGCAACCCAGACTACAATTTGATGAGATGCTGAAGTCTGTACTGCATCTGGTATTACATCTCAAACATCATGCACATATCATGACATGCTCTGGTTCAATAGAACTCCTTCACTTTGACAGTTCTTTTTTATCAAACACATTTGCAGATGAATGTGGCAGGGATAACCAGCATGTTGCATTGCGTATGTTGCATTGTGCGCTGTCTCTTCTCCTGTAGCTGGCCAAAACCAGCCTAAACCTCTTCCAGGGAGCCTTTGCGAGGTGAACAGAAGCACGCTCAGAGCCCACACGCTAGTCTCATCCAACAGGGCACAGGTTCTACCTGCAAGTAGGGAGCCACAGCCTTAGAACATACAGGGAGATGAAAAACAAATGACCTCAGCAGCTATCAGATTGCTACAATGGTTGGACATTCAGGAGTGAAAATGAAAAACACAGCCACCTCCACCACAGCCTGTCTTCCATCCAGCTCCAGGGAACCCAAACTTCCTGATCTCACTCAGGTGTCTGTTGAGAAATTGTCTCCATCAGCGATATGAAGACACTACTGTAAGATGAAGGTTGGGGAACTCCAACAGATTTTGCTTGGAAAAGAAAACAGAGGTTCCAAGGACCTCACCCCTTCCTTGAGAGACCAACCTGTCATGTACCCAGGTCCCCCTGATGATTTGGTGATACCACCCTCAGGAGCTGAAGGCTTACTTCCTCCCACAGATGAGGTCAAAGAGGCTGTGCTGCCCCTAGCCACTGCGTAGCAGGAGTCACACAGGAGCTGCTGGAAAGCTGTGTGCGGTTCAAGGGTCACAACACAGTTACTGCCATATCTGCATACCACTGTGATTGCTGCTGTTATTACCTGCATACCCGCTCTCCTCTATTTCATTGAGCCTTAGACTAGGGGTACAAAAACAAATCAAACCAAACACTGCAGTTCTTGGCTTCTTCCAGCACCGCTCCTGGCCTGACTACACCACTAGTCACCTCTTCACTTTACACTTGCTATTTCTGCTGCTGCTTCATGTCTTTCTCATGCCTCCCATACAAATCATACCAGCTACCATGAAGTTTAGGTTGGATATAAGAAGGAAATTCTTTCCTGTTAGCGTGGTGAGGCGCTGGAATAGGTTGCCCAGGGAAGTTGTGAATGCTTCATCCCTGGCAGTGTTCAAGGCCAGGTTGGACAAGGCCTTGGGTGATATGGTTTAGTGTGAGGTGTCCCTGCCCACGGCAGGGGGGTTGGAACTAAATGATCTTAAGGTCCTTTCCAACCCTAACTATTCTATGATTCTATGATTCTATGATCTTCAGACTGCCACAACTGCAGTCTTGATATGGGGATACTGCCCTTCCCTACACTGTTAGCAGCATAGTTTTTCCTGGCAATTACTTCAGACATATCCTTAGATGTTGAATTAGAGGAGACTGAGCAGAAGGAAGTTCAGAACACCAGTGGGATGGCTTGGCCGTGTCAGTCAAGGAAAATAGTGTTTATGTGACTAGGATGGCAGATGGAAGGGTTCAGACAGAATGGGACTATGTAAAGAAAAGCAGCTGTGGTGGGGCCGTACTGGAAGGACAATTTACCACTTCTCAGCTCATCTCTAGTTTCTGTCCATGGTGATATGTTAGCTACAGCAGATGGAAAGTAATGCAAAGAAACTTATTTTTTTCATGGCCTCAGAGTGCAAATCCAAAACAACTGGAGATCTTTGATATTCATTTATCTGGGCTTCAGCTCTGCCTTAGTAAAGCAATGAATTACACATTTCCAGAAAGGTTTGAAAATTGATTCAATAATACTAGCAATAGTTTTGAGGACCACATAGGAGCCTGTGGGGAAATGAACATTTGTGACTTCAATGTAGTATTGAACAGAACACACTGGAACATGGTCTGAAGCTGCACAGTAAAACTGTTTAAGCTGATCATTCAGCAGACACCATCCCTCTTTTGCACTGAACAAAGCAAGCATCATGGGAAATACAGCATGTGGTCACGCAATGAAATCCTGCATCATGACTCACAGAAAGAGTATAAACTAAGGTAACATGGCAAGTGTTAATTCTTTCACTTAGCTTCAGTTACTGCATTTGTTACTCAATTTTCTTCTAATTCAGCTTCTTGGATGAAATACTGGTATATGCTAGCAAAAACCAAATTCAAACCAGACAGCTGGATGTCATTTTTTCCACTTTAAAGAATGTCATGTTAGGAATGGCCCAGTGGGCAAAGGCGAATACATAATGGTTATTCAGAAAGCAATTAGATTCTGACCGCAGGGAAATGTTTTCTGAATGCATTGAGCTTTAATAGAATAGACCCAATAGTCTTTTTTGTTCCTCTATTTCTTATATAAGGAATCTTTTTTCCTTAAAGTTAAGATCTGGGTTAATGATGAACACATAATTATACTCTTCACACAGTTCTTCACTATGAACTCGTACATATATCTTAATAGTTACAACAGCTGCATTCTAAGATAGATATAAATATAAAAGTGGCTAAAGATATTTTGAGGTAAATGACTTTATACATGCCCTTAACTACAAGCACAGTTACACTAGTGAATTTTTAGCCTTTTCATTCACAGAGACATGGTATCACAGGAGTAGTCAGTGTTTTGAGCTGATAGAAAAACCAAAAGCTAGTAGTAACCCAAGCCCAAATTAAAAGAAATTGATTTGCCTTTGAGCAAATCTGAATGATTTAGAAATCTCACATCTTCTTGCGCTGTTTCTTTCGGTTCCAAGACATGAGAAGCTACACTGTATTTAGAAAGCTAATAAATAATTGGCCTAATTCTGCTCTTAACAACACAGGCAAATCTCAAAGCAAAGGCAAGAGGATTCAGGTAGGTTGTGTAAGCCAGCACTGCTACCACATCTCATCAAAGGCTAATCAGCTGTGGAAAACAATAAGGCTGCTACAAATCAGTGTTTGATAGTGTAAGAGAAATTATGTCTTTATAATATCTAATCTCATACATCTGTAATGACAAACTGTAAATATCCACATTACCTGAATAACCAGCAGTAGACAAGATTACACAGTAACACTTCACAGGCAGGATGGACACTGAAGGAGGGTGGAAGGAACACAAAAGGTATTTCTTTGCTTTTCTAGAAGACATCCTCATACCAAAGGCAGGCTGACAATTTGTCCCAACCTACAAGGTGCAAGAAGAGAAATGGATTTGCTGAGTAGCTACAGAGCAAAACACTCTCTTGTAAGGACTGAAGTCTCATTGTCATGCTTTTTTCTGCATAAATTGCCGTTACTCTTTTTTTTATTGCTCCCAGTAACCGTCAGAGGCTCCCCTAAACCAGCACATTGCTGCACCAGCTCAAAAAGCACTCACACCTCAGGGACTCATTTTGCTATGGAGTGTGGCAGTTCTCAGTTGTGGCAGTTATGTACATGAGAGCTGCTTCATACAGGTTTGAATACACCAGCTGCTGTTGGCCTTCAGACTGAATCCAATTTCGAGTGTCTCTAATTAGCCAGTGAGATGAGGTGCTCTCATAAAAGACTGCAGCATTGGCTCAGCTTCCTGATGTATCAAAGCCAGTCTTCTGTGTTTGGTACTGATCAACAGCTGAGGTGTGAGTGAAAATGCCCGAGGTTACATCATCTGCTTTTTTTGATACCAGGTATAACATAAGGTGGATAACCTATTCACATTTTATTATATTATTTCTTCTTTGTAAGGGGGGAAGAAGCCTTTGTCATGCAGTACATTTCTATGTCTGAGCAGGCAGAATACCTATAGATCTGTAGTACAACTCAGTATTGACGTCTGTGATGATTTAAAAGACTTCCTTGATTTTATAGTAGTATCTGTATGAATATTAACTCCATAGGGTTTTTTTTTTATAATGAGTGACATGCAAATAGTGAATTAATTCTAATCATGAAGGTTGTTCATAAAACAGATAAAACACCTGCTTGGAGAGACACCAAAGTTAAAACACATGAATGATATCAGGAGTCATCAAGTGATAAGATCTTGCTCTTATGAAGTGTTTTCCACTGATACGCTCAGATCGTAAAGAACACTTAAATGGAAATCAATGCGACAAGACCATCTGTCAGAGAAGGGGAAGAGCATCTTTGCTCACAGGCTTGCAAGCTGCTGAAGAGGGCTTTCAACTTAAGTTGCCAGGAGAGGGGAACCTCAAAGCATCCCACTCCTACCAATTTGATGCCAGTGCCTGGAGAGGGATAGCAGATCAGCAGGAGAGCACCTGAAGAGCAAAACAAAGGAATTCCAGCCACTCCAGCCAGTAGGTCACCTCCATCTGCGGCTCAGCTTAAATGCTGCTATGCATCAAAGGGCTGTAAAGACAGGCTGGGAGAGCTGGGGTGGAGAAGGCTCTGGAGAAGAGAAGGTTCTGGGTACCTAAAGGGGGCCTGCAAGAAAGCTGGAGAAGGACTTTTTACAAGAGTGACAGGACAAGGGAAAATGGCTTAAAACTGAAAGAAGGGAGATTTTGATTAGATATAAGGAAGTTCTTTATCATAAGGGTGGTGAGGCACTGGCACAGCTTGTCCAGAGAAGCTGTGGCTGCTCCATCGCTGGCAGTGCTCCAAGGCCAGGTTGGATGGGGTTTTGAGCAACCTGGTCTAGTGGAAGGTGTCCCTGCCCATGGCTGGCGGTTGGAACTGGATGGTCTTTAAGGTCCCTTCTAAACCAAACCATTTTACAGTTCTATAAAACAACTGGGAAGCTCATAGACAGAGAAGTGAAGGACACACTCTGCCAGCCAAGAAGTCAGTGGGAGTAGTGGGAAGAAAATGCTTGTGTCTCAATTCCCTGATCAGGCTCAATTCCCTGCAGATTGCTGTTTAATGGTGTTTCCTTTTAAGATACAAAATTACAGAGAATGCAAAAAGACCAAGAGAATAATAATTCGTGTGGACTATTGCTGTGATTTAACTCCAGTTGGCAACTCAGCCCCACACAGCCACTCACTCACTGCCCCTCTTGTGGGATAAGAGAGAAAATCAGAAGAGTAAAAGAGTAAAAAAATTATAAAAGAGTAAAAAAATGACTAAAAGCATGGGCTGAGATAAAGGCAGTTTAATAGGTAAAGCAAAAGTCCTGCACACAAGCAAAGCAACACAAGGAATTCATTCTCTACTTGCCATCAGCAGTGAAGTGTTCAGCCATCTCCAGGCCAGCTGTGCTGCATCATGTGTAATGCTTACTTGGGAAGACAAATGCAGTCATTCCAAACATCCTCCCCTTCTTTCTTCTCTCCCCAGCTCTATATGCTGAGCATGATGCCACATGGTATGGAATATCCCTTGGGTCAGTTGGGGTCAGCTGTGCCAGTTGTGTCCCCTCCCAACTCCTTGTGTACCCCCATCCTGCTCACTGGATGCAGGATATGAGTCAACAATGACACTTAACTCACATCTGAAATGAAGACAAGGAAAATCTGCAACGACCATGTCTACTGTCTCATGATAACTTAGTCTATTAGCTGAGTAACTACACCATCATCCCTGGTATAAAACCTACTTACTGTTTCTGACTGTTCTTCATCTAGTCTTCTTGACTTTTACTGTACCTGTCTTCTTAGGTAAAATTGGAAATTTTAGTATCCTCACATTTCCAAAGCTAAAGCCAAGGTTTGCAAGCAGGTTCTTAGGAGATTATAAGGTACCTTTCATCATTTTACACACTGTTAAATATTAAATTAATTTATTAAAAGAACATATTGCTACAAGAGTTAGTCTTGAAATCATGGATCATCAACCAGAGGTCACAAAAGAGCCACCTAATGTACTCTGTGGGCTTTATCTTCTGTGATAATCCTGGAAAACATTTTGCAGTTAATTTTAATGCACTCTTTGGGTCAGTTTTGAGCTGCAATTTGTCATGCATCATTAATTTACAAATCTAAACAAGACCTGGTATTATTACTTCATAGCAGCCAAACATTTTATAAAGCTATAGTAATATTCCTGTTCTTCATCCCTACCTGCAAGCATCTGGCTGCTGAATATTTGGTACTTGGTTCTTATTTTGTCTCATGGTTTGAATTTGTTAGTCTGCAATAACCAGGAAAAATACTGCAATATAAAGCATGCAGTTATGATATTCATTCTTTAACCTTCTGTGTGGTATTTGACACCCACAGAGATTTTCCCAGCTCTGGGAATTGTTGAGTCAATGTTGTCTCAGCTACAGACCAGCAACCATAGCTAATGTTTTCAAAGCTGTCAGAAGCTGAGCTCTTAAATCCATTATTTATACCCTCAGATAAAAGTGATCTGATTTTTAGAAACATAAAAAAAACGATAAATTCCCAACTGAAATCAGTGAAGATTAATTACTAGCAGTCCTAATTAGCAAAGAGAAACAATATATTGACTCTCATGTATTTGTGCCTACTCATACCTCTTTAACCATGACCAGTCTGGCCCAGACACTCCCATTAAACAGCCTGTTACTTGAGAAAAGTGGTTCTTAAACTTGAGATTCATATTTCACAGCAGTAGCCAAAGGGAGACACCGTAATCCAGGTCATACCAATAAATGAATTGCAACCAGTGTCTCAGAGAACAGATGTCTCATAGTTTAGAAATGCATGTGAGGGGATAAAAATACCAAACTGTAACACTAACATGGTTCTAAGAAAATTTCTTTGAGAATGTTTTAATTCTAGAGCCAACCAATAGCTTTAAAGGCTGATAAATGGAAGAAGGAGGGGGAAGACTATTGTCAAAGAGTTTTCCCTTCAAGAATGTCTGGAGGACACAGTGGGAGAGGTGAAGACTCCTTTCTGCCAGGCAGCTCAGAGTTGAGGGGCTCTTCCTTCACTGCAGTGACTCCTTGGCCTTTCCTTGGCCACCCTGGGCCTCCTTCCTGTTGCTACAGGACACTGAGGTGAAGGCTGCAAGTACCACACTGATCTCCCAGGCCTGTGGGCACAGAGCTTTCAGCCACTGCTGATGTTGCAAGGGGAAGGGAGATCAGGAAGAAAGCACACCTCTACTGGTGAATCTCAGAATCATAGAATAGTTAGGGTTGGAAAGGACCTTAAGATCATTTAATTCCAACCCCCCTGCCATGGGCAGGGACACCTCACACTAAACCATGTCACCCAAGGCTCTGTCCAGCCTGGCCTTGAACACTGCCAGGGCTGGAGCATTCACAACTTCCTTGGGCAACCCATTCCAGTGAAGATATATCCTTCTTCACCCTGTATCCAAACAGCAGTTTGCAGGAGGTACCTTCATCCTGCCTTGGAATTTGGTCTCTGATTTAGCCCTCCCCACCTGTTCAAGCTGCCTGGGTTTATGTTTCCTCTGCAGCAGCAGTAGTGCAGCCTGGCCAGTCTGGCTGACCTCTCAACAGGCAAGCCTACAGCTGAGAGTCTCATGGTGATAGGCTGTACTTTTATATCAAGAGCTGAAATAACAAACTCGGTTCATGCAGGGGGCAGAGCTTTGGACTCATCTCTGCTTGAGAGGCCTGGTTATTTATTAATTATATTTAAAGTTTTATAACAGCTTAAAAGGAATGTGAGCCAGAGGCAACACTTCAATGAAGCTTCCCTTGTGCAATGCTTGTGTAATTCTCTTAGTTTAGTGCTGGTTTGTGCAGCTATGGAAAGCTCCAGTCTGTTCCCTCCTCTAATGCCTCCACTGGTCCTGGTGATTTCTTCACCCTTTGACAGGAGAGTTCTGGCAGACAGACCCCCCCAAAGCACTACTTTGTTGTGAAATCCCAGTGCACAGAGTCCAATGGGCACACCAATGCAAAATCTTGCCCAATCACTTTCTAAGGAAAATCTGCAAGAATCCTGACTTTTGACACCCACTCAGCAAGACTGGAAAGAATGCTTTGCAAGCTACTTCACTTCTCCTTGAAATCCCAATTGCCGTAACAAGGCAAGTGTGGTTGGTAGAGTGCAGGATCCACATTTCTGATCCAGAGCCTGCCAAGATTAGACTACTAAAGGGTGGTGTAAGTGAATGAGTTCAGGTTAGTTAGGAATTCATGTATACTGTCTCTTTGGGTTGGGAAAGACCTTTGTAAACATAAGTATTATTTGCCATGGCCTTTTACTTGGTGCGTAACAACCATTTACTTGGTAGTAGGCAATTCTGAAGTAGAAATTCCCTGGTGTGAGTGGGTTGGACTTCAAATCACTCAGGATGGAGAATGGAGTGAGGAAGCATCTGATCTCCCAAGTAACAAGCAACAGGACAAGCAGAAAAGGCCTCAAGCTGTGCCAGGGGATGTTTAGATTGGATAGTAGGAAAAATTTCTTTGCTGAAAGGGTGTTCAGGCATTGGAACAGGCTGCTCAGGGCAGTGCTGGAATCACCATCCCTGGAAATGTTCACAAATGTTCTGTGCAGATGAGGCCCTCAGTGACATGGTTTAGTGGTGGTTTTAGCAATCCTGGGGCAATGGTTGGACTTGATCTTAAAGGTCTTTTCCAACCTAGTTGATTCTATGATTCAAAACACTGCATGGAATGGGAATAGGGGAAATTGATTTTGGCTGATCCTATTTGGGGCATAGATAACTAAGGATCAGACTCTGACCCAAGGCTACTGGTAAAGGTACCTGGTGTTAACCACTTCAGTAAGCCTGCTCCGGGTCTCCTCTCGCAGGGTGAACGGCTGTCATGTCAGGGCAGCTGCTGGCATCTACAGCCACCTGCTGGCTTGTTCCTGAATCCTGGAGCTCCTGAATCCGCACGAGCTCCTGCGAGGCACAAAGAGAAGACTGGGTGTCAGTCTTTCATACCATCAATATCTTTGTAAACAAGCCTCACCCATTTAATTTGAGAGCAACTTCTCGTTCTGAAGAGATCTTCTGAGATCTTTATTGCCTTTGTGTTCTCTTTTTATATACGTTCTCTCCTTTTATGTGAGCCAAGAGTTACCTCCAAACACTTGAGGCTTATTAGCTAATGAAAACACTGCAGTTTTGCAAAGCAGATTAGTATAATTATGCCCATTTTGCAGCAGAGAGTACTGAGAATTAAGTCAGGTGAAGGTTCAAGGTCTCTCAGCAGTATTATTGGTATGGGCTCCTGTCTGAACTCTTCTTGCCTGAACGGTTTGGTACTTGCTGATGTTTCTTGAGATGCCGGCCCTAAGGAAGGAGACAAAAGCTGCGAGACAAAAATGCGCTGCACCCTGGTAGGAAATATATGAGAAGTTCCTAGAAATCATTTTGCCCTCTGTCCTTCCCTACTGCTGAATTTAGCTTTGCAGGAGTGCAAGCAGGGAAAGGCAGGGCTACGAAACCTGACTTAAATTCAGTGTATTGCAGATGATCTTCAGGTCGTACCTTGATTAAATGAATTTGCATAGCCAGTATTAGCTATACCCTAATATCTTTAGAAAGATGTTAATCAATTAAGAAGTGCTTAGAAAATGAGATGCAAACAAAATAAACTAAGGCATAGGAAGGCATGCTTAAGGGAGTGGCTCCTTTAGAGGTTTCTTCAGCTTGCTGTCTGTGGATAAGGTGCCATCCTGCTCCAGCAAGGCCTTATCAACATGAGCCAGTAAGTGACTGCTTTGATTTTAGCAATAAAAGATATTATCTGTGCTTCTTGATTTCTTTTAAATTAACATGCAGCTTTCTGTAGTAATGTTACAGGTTTCACAGACAAACCCAGCAAAGATAACAAATGTTAATTGGGCTCACTAACCTCAATATGATAATCAATGGCTTTTGTTTTCTCCATTTCCATGTTGCTGACTATGCCGTTTCTTCCCTCTTCCTCTGTTCAGTGACTTAACCCTTCAGTTACCCCACTGATTTATCTTTTCCTACGAAAAAAAAGCATCTTCCTGGCCCACTATGTGCCCCTTTACACCTCTGGCCTTTGGTGCTATTCAAACGAATAAAACAGGAACACCTTATCCTAGAGTTCTGGCTGCCTAAGATTACTACAAAAAAGACTGGGATGAAGAAACAGAGTGTGGTGGCAATAAGGAAATAAAAGAGGTGGATCTGTAATGTACGTTTCAGTCTCATCTATCCACAGATATCCTTCTAGTAATATCACTGAAAGTCTACTTCCTATCCAAGGGAGCCTGCACATCATCCTCATCCTGTGATGGATCTGTTGCCCTTGACACTGCTATTTAATGTTTGTCCTTTGATACCTTGTCACACTGGATGTTACAACTTTTCAATGCTCCTTTCTCTCAGTCTGGACTTTCAACCATCTCCTCCCAGAGCTTTGCCTCCCACCTCAAAGAGCAGCTCCCTCAAAATTTCCTGCTGCGCCTTCCCCTCCACCCTCAGTTCTCTGTCCTTGGGTGACCTCTTCTGCTGAGGTGGATGTAATGACCACCTCTGTGCCACCTACATTTAAAACACTTATCTACTGCTGATCTTCCACACATGGGTTTTGCATCTCACTGCCTCCATAGTGCTACATCCTGACAGACAGCTTGCTACCAAGCTCACTGAGATCCAAAAAAGGAACTCATTAAAAAACAAACCCAACAACACAGCTTTCGCTAGCTCTCTGGCCAGCAGCCAGTGTGTGTGTCAATTTTAATGGCTTTGATATTTAAATTTAGCTCTCTCTTACTGCCGATACCATTTGGCAGAAGTGTACTTACAATATTATTCCCAAAGCTATTCACCAGGCATCTCTTTGCTACGCTCCAACCTTCCCAGGAATTCATTCCTGTGAATAAAAACCTGTAGGGATGAGCAAACCATCAGTGCTGCCCTGGCTGGCTAAAGAGATGATTTTCTTCTTTTCACTCTCTTTCTGCTCTTTGTATGTTTGTGTGTCAACAAACATCTCCTAGCCAAGAACTGCCTTTGATTGTTCATGACTTATCTTCAGGTTTCTTGGATAATTAATGTGTGGTTTTGTGGTTCTTTCATGGAATTACAAGGGAGAAAAAAGGAATTTTAGTAACAGGACAGTATGACTACACAGCTGCACTGCTGTATAGTATATATAATTAGTACTACTGAAATGTGGTATCAGAGGCAGATGTGTTGTACTTCTAGCTCCCAGATTTGACACTAGTTATGCCAGGTAGTACAGACTGGACTACAGATTTCCACATGTTGAATGTGTTGGTTTAAGAAGAAAAAAAACCCTAAGTTACCTCAGGTACACTCAAAAAAGTTCTTTATTTAAGTTTGGGGTTGGGTTGTTTTTTTTTTTAGGAAGCTTCAATACTTCAGAGTTGTGCAAATGTGACCTTTGTGTGTTTCTTAACTTACGAATCCTTCTTTATTAAGGTTCCTAATTTCTCTTTTGAGAAGGATCTGAGAAATTATTACTATTAAATAATTAATCAATTTATTAGAACTCAATTCAACCTTTTAAGACATTACAGAATGTTGAAGTTGCACAACTGGGATTCAAGTGATTATATGTAAATTTAGGTGCTTTTCACCAAAATACAGATCCTATCAGTTGTAATAAACAAGTGACTTTTTAAAACAGAGAATATTAGTGGCAGCTACTGAGATGTTGCCAAAACCTGAAGATGTTTTGTCATGCCTTGATACCAACATCTTTGTCATTACAGCACCCATACACTTTGAATTTAGACAGAAACCCCACTGAGATTCAGGTGATGAATTTTTATGCTGACGTGATTCCCTACAGCTGTTGCTGAAAGAGTCTGCCTCTTTTCCATAGTAGCTCAGAAGTGAGGCATTCACCTACATCTAATTCTTCTCCAGTTATTATCCCAGGACACTGGAAATGGCTAGGAAAGGGCTGTAATCACCCAGCTATTCAGGGGAGAAGTTCTAAATTCTGTTTTCCATAAAATGCTTAAATACTAAGAAGAGTTGAGCACAACACCCACTTTTTGACTGCTCTAATGATCATAATGTAGTATCACACTCATTTGCTTTCCTTGCCCTGCTGAATATTCAGGTATACCATACAAAGCAGGACTTCCAGAGGGGACCAGAATATCCTGCAGCAGTTGGGCAAAGTGGCAGGACAGAGAAGGGAGCTCTGGACTTAAACCTTCTCCAGAATAATGGCACCTGGACTTTGGTGTCCTACATCCTGGGAGCCTTACCTGGGCCTGGGTAATTACCCTCGCCGCTTAGGGAAATCGTCACCTCCTGGCTGTCCTTTGAAAGTGCTGATGACTTTCATTCTATCTCACAGGAGTTCTGCCCAAGAGGAGAATTACACCTCAGTATGTGCAGAATCAGAAGTGTAAATGGTTAGAACACAGGAGATACAGTAAAGCTCCCATTAATAAAGTCCTGTAACTAGATAATTATAGATTATCTAGATAACCTTTTATGTATGACTGCAAAAATGTCTCCTTTTTCACTTGTTCCCTAGCCTTTTTTTGTTCATGAAAGCCTTATTATAAAGCTGCAGATAAGACCAGCTCCTTTTAGCTCCTTAGAGCTACCTAGCAAGAACTTTAGCAAGGGATAGTTAAAAATGCTAATTAAATTTTATGTAGTAAATTTGGCAGATACAAAAATTCATTGTTTCTTCCAGCAACAGCTCAAGATTGGTATTTAGCTGTGAAATTACCTATGACTTGTTCTGTATTGCATCATTTTCTTGCAGTTTTTGTTCACAATATAATCCAAAACCTGTTAAATTTAGCAGGCACTTTATTGTTGCTTCTGTTGCTTAACTGGAGAGTTTTTCTCATGGTCCTTTAAAAGCTCTGCAGAAATACAAGCAGGAAAGTTTCAATCTGAGAAGACTGCTTGATGTAAATTAATTATTGAACACATATTAATATTCATAAGGGACCCAATTATCTGTGAAAGTCATGATGATCTTATTTGCTGATTAGCAAAGAAAACACTACCATGGTATTTTTCTTAAGCTCACCTTGTTGACTGAAATTTGTGTCAATGAGCAAGTGCAAGGTTAAGATGGAATAAGAGGATAATTTCACTGGTGAGGTCATAACTGATGAAGTAAAAGTGACAGAAATGCAACTGAGTGATTTTTCAGCAGGTAAGAATCCTAGTCATAGGATAATTTAGTTTGGAAGGACCTCTGGAGGCAGGTTCCTTCAGTTCCCCCATCAAAGCTGGGCCAAATTCAAAGTCACATGCCTCAGGGCCTGCAGGGGACACTGCAGTTAACAAAACATGAGATGGGAAATGCTTGAGCGAATGGGGTAGATATAATTAGGTATAAAACACATACTTAAGGGTGGTTCTTTGGAGTTTCATCCAGGGGAAAATTGGCTTTGAAGTCACCAAGCTGTCCTGTTTGGCCAGGTAGTGTTAAATGTAAGCAAGATAAAAGGCTGAAAGCTTATCCAAAATGAGTGCTTTAATTCTGACGACAAGGTCTCCCAAATTTTGCTACAATAAACCTGACTTCCTAGGAAAACTACAGTGATTGAGAACAGCCATGACTGTAGTAAGTAGCAGCTGGGCCTTCTCTAACAATTTAATCAGATAGTCAGCATCCTTCAAAACTCTGGATCACTTACTGAAGGACCACTGCAGAAGTGGCTCACAGCAGACACCTGCCTCAGGTCTCCAGGAATGAGAAGAGAGCTTCACAGCACAAACATGTAAAGAGAGTGGCAAAGCTGCATTATTGTCTTCAGGAGAGCTGGCATGTGGTGAGCAGCAGCCCTACACACACAAACATCACCATGTAATGAAGCGCAGCTCTTCCTGCTCGCAAGCACATCTCTTGGCACATACTTACACTGCTCTCCATCACATATATTAAAGCCAGAGAGTATTGGTATATTCTACTCCTGAGAAGGGTCAGCACCTTGATATTTTATCCAGGATGTATTCAACCTTGTTACAGTTCTGCCCACTGCTGTTTATCTGACTCACACTGAGGGTGAGAATCAAAGGCAAGTGACGTGCTTGCGAGAGCTGGCCTTGTTCAGCAGGGCTCTGCCATCTTCAGGCAATTTTCAGGCTGCCTCTACACAGCAAGAAAAGGCTGAGTTGGTTTCTATGACGCAAAAAAAAAAGGTACTCATTATCTTCCAAGAACTTTAAAATTGGATTTTGGTTCCTACTCTTTCCACACTTAGGCTGTTGCCATTTTTGCAGCTGGGTTAATTTGACAGCTGGAAAAAAAAAATGATCATGATGTTTTTGGAACCACTTGGACTTTTTTTTCCCTATCTGCATTTTTTCTGTAAGCCCCAAAATTAGAAGATCAGTAATCTCAGAGATGTGACACTTTGTGAATGCCTAATTTCTCTTTATATTTGCTGCTTATTTTCCTCCCCATGGTTTGCTTTCTGCTTTGAACCACCCATGCCAGCACAGCCTTACTGACTGTGTGTGTTTCATTATTCTGATCTGATGAAATTTTTGGGATCTGCCAGCTATTCTATTGTCTCATGAAGTGCTCGAACACTTGCTTTAATTTTCCTGTGAAGGATTGAAAAGACTGCCAGTCATAAAAGCCTGTAAAAGCCTGATTAAAAGGTTGTCTTTCCAGTGGCAGCTTTTGGATTCACATATGAGCCATAGACTGCATTTTTTGTCCTTTCTGGAATGTTTATCAAAAGGTACATTGATTATTTTTGTAACTCGAACATAAGATTTGGAGGTCCCAACATAAGGCCTCTCCAACACAAGATTTATCAAAAGAACTGTGGGTACAAAGGGAGGATTCTGAATAATATTAATTTGTCATTATAAAATGACTAAGTTCATCTCAAATAGTGTCTTCTCCATGCTGTTTTGAATACAAAGCATCAGAAGATTTAGACTACCTCCTGGAGAAGATTAGCTGGAATAGCCCCTCAGTCAGGGTCTGTTTTCAGTTGAATAGGAATGTGCATAGCCAGAGCTAAGGAAGATAAATTCAGAAAGGTTTTAGAGGTTCAAAAGAAAGAGGATGGTGTATGGCCCATAAGCTATGAACACTAACAACAGGAAAGCTAAGGAAACACTTACGGGTGTGATCTTGAGAAGAAGGTGGTCCTTTCTGGGTCCAGGTCCTAGGGTCACACCCACCCACTTTTGCAGGTGATTAAATTTGCTACCAGTTTTGGTGCTTCTGCCTACACAGAAAGAGGATTTATGCAGGACTGTTTTAACAACACAAGCTTAGACTAAGAACTAAGAACACACCTAATCTGTATCAGCAATTTTTATTCTAGTAGAAAAAAAAATCTGTGCAAGGCCTTGCATTTGATGATCCACTTGAGCAACAAGGGCAGCACTAATTAATAACATCTCAAACGCAAAGTTATTCAATAACCTTGAAATGTTTTGAAGAGTTGACTTCCAGTTAGCGTTTTGCTCTGCAACAGTCACAGAGTAAACTAGAACATCAAAATATATTTCTGTTTTTCCTCAAGGACTGGAGAACAATGTGTGTAATTATGCACAATGACACAAGACTGAAAGGAGAATTGCTCAAACTGATCTTCAAAGCAGGCAAATCTGAGCACAACAGACAAGCAAAGAAAATGAAAAGGCCTAAGAAAGAAAGAAGTGAGGATCAGCAGAAAGTCTGAAAATGGACTAGAAGTCACAAACACATTTGGCACTGCTACAGCAAAGGCAGGATGCACACAAGGGAGATTTCTACAGAGCTAGTTGGAACAGGGTGCCCAGAGAAGCTGTGGTTGCCCCATTCCTGGCAGTTTTCAAGGCCAGGTTGGACAGGGCTTGAAGCAACCTGCTCTAGTGGAAGGTGTCTGGAACTGGATGGTCTTTAAGGTCCCTTGTAACCCAAACCATTCTATGGTTCTATAGGTGGAAAATTTCAAACTGCAGGAAGCTAAAAAAATTAAACATCCATTTACTTCAGGAAAAAAAAAGTTTTCACAGATGACAATTAAATCAAATTTAAACAGGATTTTCTTGCAGCTGCAGGTTCTCCTTTAGGTCTCTGACACATATGCAGTGACAGATTAAATCTGGTTGGCTGAAACTGTACTGTTGCTGATTGTCTGCCAAACCTCTGAGGCAGAGCTAATGGCACAGTGTTTTAAATCCAAAAGCACACTAACCCTAAACACAACTTGCCATATCACAGTAGCCTGAAAACTGTGGTGGTCCAAAAAATGCTTCACTTGCCATTTACACATCCCATGGCAGGGTGAGGCACATATGTGGGGTGGGCTGAATCTGCCATCAGTTGTAATCTGGCATCACATTGTGTTCAAGCATTAAGAATAGTTCTGCTTCTGCCAGAGAAGAGGAAACTTCAGCCAAGAAATTTCACTGGACAAGATAAAAGTGAGAAAAAATGTTCAGTTTGACCTGTGAGGAAAAGCATACTGAAAACATGAGCCAGCGAAGCTGGAGTTTGTGGATGAGATCAGTTCTGTAAAAGGTATTAATTTATCTTTAAATATTTAGCCCATCACCTGCATTTGAGAACAGGATGTGAAAGCGTCAAGAAATACCCTTATTCAAGTAACTAACTCTTCTTCTTTATAACACAGAAACCATTCCAACCTTAGCTAATTACTTCACTCACAGCACAACTTCCCACTAATTCAGACACTCCTTGCACAGTTTGCTTGTCATTACAATCCCTTACATGGTTTTGAATGTGAAATCGAGACTTCTCCAGGACCGCCTCTTTGGTTCTGCTTCCAAATAACAAGATGCCTGCTGGTGTCCTACGCTGGGGAAGTTAATGGACAGACCTCACTTGACTTGACCTTAATGACCATGTTTTGTCTTTGTTACTTTCTCAGTAAAGTCCCAGCACTGTTTTCTCAGATCGGATCTCCCAGGAATATTTGCATTGCTACAGCCCATTAGGTAATTATAGACCAAGATTCCTCAAATGCCACAACACGGTCTGTGCTCAGGCTGTGAGTAAATTAGCTTATTAAGGCCTAGCAGGAGTGAGGAACAACCAAGACCACAGGGAAAGCTTGGTCAGCAGTGCAGTAGGCACTCTGCATAGGAGGATTGGCTGCTTAGGCAGCAGGGAGCATCCTGTGTCCACTCCCCTGAGGGGCAGGCTCTGTGATCCCTCCTTATCCAATCCTACTGCTGCTGGCTCTCCTGCCAGAGCACCCTGAGCCCTTCTCTCAGTCCCTTTTCATACCTGTGTTTGGCCCTTTGGTAAATAGCAATGGATGAGGCTCATGCCACTGACACATACTGCTTTTAGTAGAAGCACTTCAGCTTTGGCACAGAGGCTGTTGTCCAGCAACACACTGCTGCTTTCTCTCTTGAAACATCCCAGCCAGCGGGACTAGAGGTGGTGTAGGTAACAAGATGTTAAAAAGAAAATAATAAAAGAATAGAATATTTCAGTTGGAAAGGACCTACAATGACCATCTAGTCCAACTGAGCTTCTTGACTTTGGCAGGTTTGAGAGTGAGCCCATGTGAACCGCATGAAGTTCAACAAGACCAAGTGCAAGATCCTGCACATGAGCTGGGGAAATCCCACATTGATATAGGCTGGGAGATGAAGTGATTGAGAGCAGCTCTGCAGTGAATGACTTAGGGATGCTGGCAGACCAGCAGATTGAGGGAGGTAATTCTTTCCCTCTACCCCAATCTGGTGAGACCCCACCTGAAGTAACTGTGTTCAGCTCTGGAGTCCTCAGTACAAGAAAGACATGGGCCTGTTAGATCAGCTCCAAAGGAGGGCCACAAACATGGTCAGAGGGCTGGAGCATCTCTCCTGTGAGGAAAGGCTGAGAGTTGGAGTTCAGCATGGAGAAGTCTCCAGGGAGAAATTATTCTAGCCTTTCAGTACTTGAAGGGGGATTATAAGAAAGATGGTGAAAGGCTTTTTATTAGATCTGTAGTGACAGGACAAAGGGCAATGGTTTTAAACTAAAAGAGGATAAATTCAGATTAGCCATGAGTCAGAAACTGTTTACTACGAGGGTGGTGAGATGCTGGAACAGGTTGCCCAGAAAAGTTGTGGATGCCCCATCACTGGAAGTGTTCAAAGCCAGGCTGGATGGGGCTTTTAGCAACCTGATCCAGGCAGGGAGGTTCAAACTAGATCTCTAAAGGTCTTTCCCAACCCAAATCATTCTATGATTTTTGATATTGAAGCTCAAAGTGTAACGATAGGGAGTAGATGGGGAAGACATGTTAGTAAAAGGAAAATGCTGTAGACAATAAAATGGAAGAGGTCCCCATTTTCTTGGTTTTTCTTTGTTCTTCTGATGTATTTGTTTAGTTTTTCTCATCTTGCAGTTACTGTATGTTTGGGAGCTCTCTTCACAAGCTAAGATATTTGTTCATGGAGGAAGCAGTCCCTCCCTTTTCCCAGCCATTCCACTGGTAGAGTCATACTCATCTTCATTATGTCAGCTATCAAGAAGGAACAAACTCATTTTTCTCTTTGAGAGTCAAAGCTGCATTTTGCTTAAAGGCCACCAGCTAGCATTTTCAAAGAGGATGTTGATACACTCGCCTGCTACTCTGCTTATACCATCAAATCTGACATTTACAGGTGTCTCTGCTGCAGCCAAGTACTTATGTTTTCCATTTGGGATTTTTCCTACTAATTCATTAATTAATACCCCTTGGCATTTTATAGATGCCTACAGGGTATCTCAGGAGCATGAGGAGAACTCCTTCATTAACTCTATTTCCCTGCCTGACTGGTAAACAGCTGGTTTTGAAACCACGAGAGAATACAGATTCATAAAATTAAGTTCCAGGAGGGGACACAGTCATTTACACTTTCACGTATAATACAAACCATTTTGTGTCGACTGGTTACCTCTGTATTTAACCCAATTACTTGTGTTGAATAAAAGCATAGCCTGTCATTGGCTAAAACACATACGTGACACCTCATTTACAGACATAAAGAGATGGCTTTATGATCTCTTTTGAGAGCTGGTGCCAGGCAATAATCACACTCAGCATGAAACATTTGGGCCTTATTCCTCATTTGGATGACTCTGGATCAGTTGGCAGCCACTGCTGCTTGATTAAAAAAAACATTGGCACACGGGATTTTTTACCCAAAGGTCTTTCTCTGCTATAATCTAGCCATTTCTCACTCATTTATTTGACAAATTCAGTGCAATGAATTTCTTAAACCTCCTAGTGAAATGCATTTTCTCCAGTGTAGAAAGTCAGCTATGGTGCTCTTTTGCTCATTTTTTTTTCCAATTTTTAAGGTTGATTTTTGCCCTTGAGAACACAGATTCCTACAGGCCATTCTGGTACCACTGTTGGTAATGCCATATGCAGCAGTCAAATCATTTTACTTTTCCTACTCACTCTGATGATTTATACATCCAATGATTACCACTTTAATACCTCTTGCTACAGCACTGTCAAGGATATGCAGGTTTAGTGATTTTCACAATTGCTTCTTTCCATGACACAGTCCCTCATTTTATATTGGCTAAAGTGTCAAGAGAGCTTCAAAGAACTGTGTCCCTAAAAATACATAAAGCATGAGATGAACCCATTAGTTCTTTTACAAAAATTATGCATCAAGTACTTAAAACTCAAAAGCAGAATAAAACGCTAAAGACTCAGACTGAGAAGTCGCAATAAACAGAAATTAGTGATTAAACTGAAAATAAGTTAAATTCCTTTACTGAATCATCTCCCGCCTGACAGCTTTGGCCCGTTTCGCAGTGCAGCTGCGCGTCAGACCCCATTGGGAGATGACATAGGGAGTACTGGCTTGTAATTTAGGAAATCCCCACAAGAGGGGGGTACGAGCCACAAGTAAAGCCTGCTCGGGAAAAGCCAGCGGGCTGGTCTGCAATGGGGCTTACAGGGAAGCTTCACTTACACGGTAGAGCTTCTGGAGGTGGAGATTCAGCCTCAGTGTGGTCGCTGCTTAGGCACCCCTACTTCACCTGTTGTAGGATTGAAAAGTAGTCGAAATACTTTCTGTATAAAATAGATGACAATTACATGTATGGAAGTAAACAGTGACAATATTCTATTGGTCACTTCAGCTTTTGAGACAATAGAAAACAGTCTGACTTTAGAAAGAAACACAGCAACACAGCAGTAGGATTTGTGCCCATGCCTTTCAAAGAAAAGAAGAAAACCCCCAAGATATTTCTTTTTCACAGGGAACTTTACCAAGTCAAAAACTACAGCTCTCATTTGAGCCAGCATTGTACACATGACTGCACCATACAGATCAGTCTTAAAACTTAATCTTATAAAATCATACTTAAATCCATATTTAACCCATTTCTTACCTTTTAGGACTTTGTGTGGGCTTTTTCCAAGCCTGAGAGTTTAAAACAAGAAAGTCTAAAGCCTGAGTCTTGTAAAATTCTGCTTTATGTGTTGATTTTCAAAGCAGCTCCATTCTCTTTTTCTCAGTACTGAGTGCTTAGCCCAGAAGTACTTCTGTAATCAGGACACTGTAATATCTCTGTATCTGCAGAACAAAAAGCTCAATATTAGGGCCCTGTTGAAATCCTTTCTGGACAATCTAGAACGTGTCTATCTCTCCAGCACTGATGGAAGCTGAAAACAAAAAGCATTCTTGAAAATCATCCTAACTAAAAACACCCTGTTAAAAAAAAAACCTGTACACCAGGTAACTGCCACATACTAATCACCCTGTTAAGAAACACCCTGAGATTTCACATTTAGGTTGTTGGAACTGGATGATCTTTGAGGTCCCTTCCAACCCAAACCATTCTATGATTCTACGATTCTACGATTCAGTGCTTCCTAAATGGGTTTCATGCAGGAGTATTCATCTACACTTTGACAATGGGGCTCTAGAACATGTAGACAATGACCATGCTCTACCACGGGTAGAGAGCTCATGGAGACACTACTTATCCAACCAGTCCTTGTAGTGTACCTGCTAACCACTGTGTTTTTTTCCTTGCTTTCAGTGAATGAGCAAAGAGAGATTACCCAGACAAAGTGTGAGTCCTCTTGGTCTTCCACCAGTCACCTATGCCCATGTTTATGTCTCGTTGCCCTGGGCAGTGAGGATACAGACAGCAGCTCTACAAAGCCTGCTCTCTGTGGCTGTACGGAGGATGTCCGTTGCCTGCCCCACACATCACTCACTCCCTCAAGGAAGAGGTAGGCCAGGAAGGACCACCTGTGAGCTTGATTCTGCTCATCAGCCTTGAGTGAGCTGAAAGAGGCTGGCATTCCTGAAAACCAGACTGGTCTTATATGCACAAGAGCAAAATCTGGGGGCAAGGACCTGCTCTAAGCTAGAAGAGTCAGGATGCATTGGATATGGACTTCGCATTGACAGAAATACACGGAAGAAGCTAGAGCAGAGATAGAGCTAGAGCAGGACATTCACAAGTCACTGTTTAGAGGTGCTGAGGCAGAGAAGGGTGGAGATAGGTGGCTGTCTTTGCAATTGTAGCAGTGCAGCAGGCTTGAGCCATGGGTGTCTCTCATCCAAGGGCAAGATTGCCGTAGAACAGCTGAGTAAATTTGAGTCACTTTGATAAAAAAAAATTGTTAAGATGTGAAAAAACCACATGAGCTAAAGCCTCACCAAGAGAGAAAAGTAACAAATAGAGGCGAAGCTGTTGAAGTTGTAAAGCATCATAAGGATTTGAGGATAGCTCTGATATAAAAAGTGTAAAATCCTAAAATCAAATCAGGAGGCCAGAATGTTGTCCAGGTGTGCAGCAGCCAATTCACACACAGAGACAAGGTGTCTGTTTATTCCAAGTTTGCACAAAAAAAGGTGTGCTATGTGGTATCCCGCAAAGCTAGCACATCACCCCATGCAAAAATTCACACTTATACACAGTTCAGTTCAGGTTGGTAATTCCCCATAACCCTTCCACCATTTACAACTGGTCAGCTCACTGAGTAAGTTTACATCATGGACTCCTTGCCATGCATGCTCAGGGAAGAGTTTTTTCACTCAAGCAGGAGTCTTTTGACCTGTAGACATGATTTTCAGCATTAGAATGAGACTATAATGAAAACACTCCCTAATAATGGGACTCCCTAAAGGACTCCCTAATCATGTGGTGCTGATGCATCAAAGTTATATCTTGCTGATTGATGTCCATGTGTTTTCAAGATGTACCAGTCTTCAAGGACAGTCTCTCCTGATTAGAGATTCATTGGGCCTGTTTCTTAATCTGCCTACACAAGCCCAAAGCCTCCTCCACGGGTACCAGTTCTCTTCATTAGTCAGTGTTGTTTTCAGATCATCCTGACCTTTTAGGAGGTCTTTGTATTTGTTCAGGCTTTTCCATAGTAATACAAGCTCCAACTTTTTCACTATATGCCTACAACAAGATGCAGCTCAGCAACACTGTGAATGTCTCTGCTCCACAGAGCAATGGAGATCAGCCTCTCCCCACCTGACTGATGCTCTTCTGAAAAGCAAAGAGCCGCAGGACATCTTACCCAGGGCAGTGAGCATGTGCTTAATCAAGCAGTTTACTAGTCCTAGCTCTGTATTTGTTATGTATTTTGGCTGAGAAATTCTTGGGCTTTGATTTTCAATTGTGCTTATCCTGCTTGAAGAGCTTTTGCTTAGACAGTAAAAGTTACCTAAACAAAGTGGCCTCTGGTACCCTCATCTGGTCAGGGTGAATCGCTGTAAAGATCAGTTTCATCAAGGAGGTGAAGTGAGAGCTGAGAAGTGCCACTAGATTAAGACTGGACTTGAGAGGAAAATATTCAGTTCTCCGACCCAAAAGAGTACTTGTCTGGGAGTACTTTTTCTGGTTTTTAAAGATTCAGAAGCCATTGCACCTTCTAATGAAAAATTAAGGGTAGATGCAGAAAAGACTGAAAAGAAACCTGGAAAGTGGATGACAGGGAAAATATATAGAACTGAGTGGAAAAACTTATCTGCACCTTGAGATGAATTTTCAGAAGTTTTTATCACATGCTCCTACAGTGTAAAGAGTCAACCTCTGGTTTACAAACCAACCAACTTGATAAACGGAACTTGCCAACTGGGTGGCTTCTCTCCACCCAGTTTTGCTGTAATCACAGATTCTCTCCATTTTTACTGCTATTTCCAACCCATAATTTTCAGTCATAAACTTTACCTATCCTTGACATTTATAGATGTCAAATGGCCTACATATAAAACTCTTCTATTGGCAAGCAATGTTTTTTGTTATGCAGTCATGTGGAATTTAGTATGTGGCAATTAACTCTTGGGTTTGCTCAGCAGTAGGAAAAGTTTGCTCATAGCAAAGCTGATGTGGAGTAATTAATGTCTAGTAAGTTGTTTTGGGGTTTTTGTTTGTATGTTGCCCAGGGAAGTTGTGAATGCTCCATCCTTGGCGGTGTTCAAGGCCAGGTTGGACAGAGCCCTGGATGACATGGTTTAGTGTGAGGTGTCCCTGCCCATGGCAGGGGGGCTGGAACTGGAGGATCTTAAGGTCCTTCCCCACTCTAACTATTCTATGATTCTACGATTTGCTGTCTCTGCTGTTCCCTTCTGGTTCCCTGGGTTGTCTTTTCCATCTATCCTTGAGAGCTCACTTGCTCTGAAATTCTAGTGCATGGACACAGTTGATGCGGAATTTGCAATTCCACCTCAAGGGAATTCATAAATATAAGCTGCTTTCCTGTTCATGGAGTTAGTGCACCTCTTGCTTCAGAATTGCTCCATACTGAACTTGAAGAGTTGGCTGCCTTCTGGATGAATCTAAGCTCCAGCTATGTAGAAACACACTGCTCACAGAGCAAACAAACAACAGAGAAATGGCCTCTGGGATCCATAGTAGGTCTGCTGTAAAGAGAAGAAACTGTTGGGGATAGACACTAGAGAGGCTGATTTCCTGTTCAATGCTGTGTAACTGTACAAAAAGAGTTTAATTTTTTTCATAAATGCCACTGAAATATCAACATGCTTCTCCCCCTACCTCTGCCTTCTGGTTCTTTAACTTCTGCTTCCCTTCCCAGTACCTGCAGCCTGCCTGCTGTCTATTAACTATACTCCTACGTCTCCACCTTCACACTGCAAGCGTGAGGACTATATATGCCTGTAGTTGCTTGGGTAAGCATTTGGCTGTCTTCAGTAAGGCATGGGTAGGAAATGTCTAGGAACAGATCTTCAAAATCAGAGAAAACCACAAAATTCCCTCACTGCTGGTGTGAGGATTGGGATTTTAAAAACATGAAGTTAGCCTTTCCCTTTCCTTCCTTCTGTCACAGTCAGCTGACTTGTGATTATGGGTATCACTGACTGAACATTTGCCCACTCTAGTAAGAAAAAGAGGCAAACTCATTGATAAAGCATTAAAAAAAATCAGTGTTCTATCTAAGAAACAAAATGGTAGGAAAACAGACAACATAGTTCCAACCTTGCAGTGAAAACAGAAAGGGGACAAAGTGCTTACAGATGTAGCTGTTGGGGCAGACTGTGTCCCCTGTATGCACTGTATTCCTGTATGTAATCCGGTATGTTGCCTGTATTCCTCAAGACCAAATAACTTTACACCCTGGACTTCTCAGGCATTACAGCTCTGACCCCAGAGAGGTGCCCTCTTAAACACTCTGTGCTATCAGACTGCAAAGAACATAATAGCTACTGCCTTTCATTCCCTAATTATGTATTAATGAAACAAATTATTTTACAATCTTCCTGCTGAGATAGAGAGAAAATATTGCTAAACATCCCTTTGAATGCTCTATAAATACAGGGTGTCATCAGCATGAACTTCCATGATGTGCTGCATAACATTTTAAAGTTCTTAAGCTTGTTCTTGGTCCTTGATCCTTAGAGAAATTCCAATTCATGGATTACATATTGTCCTGGGTTCAGCAGTATATTTGATATACTTTTCTGTTGCTCTGAAATTAGGCTATTTTTTTTAACATCTATTAAAAATACAGGGAAAACATCTGCAGAGTTCTTCATTGTGATCAGTCTTGAAAACATACAGCTGCACTGCACTACTTTGTCAGAAAAATGAATTAACCACCCAACTTCTCAATATAAAGAAATCCCCACATGAAGAACAGTTGTATTCCCTCACACACCCACTGACATATGCACAACAATTACAGCTTTTCATGCAAGTGGCCTCTTGCTTTAAAGCTCTAATTCTGAATAATTACAGTTTCATATAATCGTCCTTCTCAATTGCCCTGGTTTTGGCTGGGGTACAGCTAGTTTTCTTCCTGGTAGCTGGTGCAGTGCTGTGTTTTGGCCTTAGTCTGAGGACAATGCTGGTAACACACTGATGTTTCAGTTGGTGCTGTCCATGGACAGCAAGGGTCATTCATGCAGTACATGCTGGTTAATTATTTGGTATGTAACCAATAGGTCTGATACCTCAGATAGAATCACAGAATAGTTAGGGTTGGAAAGGACCTTAAGATCATCCAGTTCCAACCCCCCTGCCATGGGCAGGGACACCTCACACTAAACCGTATCACCCAAAGCCTTGTCCGACCTGGTCTTGAACACTGCCAGGGATGGAGCATTCACAACCTCCCTGGGCAACCTATTCCAGTGCCTCACCACCCTAACAGGAAAGAATTTCCTCCTTATATATACTGGTCCTGATGCACATGCTGCTAGGATAGTTGTTACTATGAACTAGGGGCATCTCTTGTGTTTTATGGGTCTGCCTCTTAAGGTGGCACACATGTGACACCTACTTCTGCACGATTGGCAGAGTCTTCACCAAATGATTTATTTTGTATACCCTGGAGCTCAGCCAACCATTTCTGGTTATTCCATCATCACATCACTGCCCTGCCAGCTGCTGCTTGTCAGCATTTTGCTGAGTGAAGCTGCTTCTGGAGAAGGGCTAAGATCAAAGTCCGCTCAACTCCAAACTCTTCTCTGGTGCCCTTCCTTGTTGTGCAGTTGTTATGGAATTTTAGAAATTCTTTCTTCAGCCTGTTCATATCTGCTACTGTCAGATTTAAATCATTAAAAGGGTTGGGGTTGTTCAGCCTGGAGAAGAGAAGGCTCCAGGGAGACCATAGAGTAGCTTCCAGTGCCTAATGAGGAACTGCAAGAAAGCTGTAGACGGACTTTTAACAAGGGCCTGTAGGAACAGGTCAAGGGGAACAGCTTTAAACTGAAAGAAGGGAGATTCAGATTAGATTATCAGGAAGAAATTCTTTACCACGATGGTGTTGAGACATTGGAACAGGCTGCCAAAGGAAGGTGAGGATGCCCCATCCCTGGCATTGTCCAAGGACAGGTTGGATGGGGCTTTAAGCAACATAAATGTGGTCTAGTGGAAGATGTCCCTGCCTGCAGCAGAGGGGCTGGAACTAAATGATCTTGAAGGTCCCTTCCAATCCAAACCACTCTATGATTCTATGAGAAGATGTTTCATAGTAGTCATCTTGACAGTGCTTTACAAGTGAAGCTGGATGTTTCTTATTCTGCAAAGAAAATCCTTAACAAAATTCAAGAACGCACATAAATGCAAACCAGAGAAAAACAGATTGTTTTGTAAAGCTGGAAAGTAAGGCCACAGCAAAAAAACCATTCTCTACAGCAATCCCTTCTCATTTACAGTAAAGTAAGCAACAAAAGATAGCTCCTATGCCAACAGAGAAATGCAAATACGTTGAGCTCTTCACTGTTGCCAGGACAGTGAGAGTAAATGAACAGGTAGTGGAGAGCCACTTTTGTTGTCTTGGCTGGAAATACAGAAATGTTCTGGTAACATCTGAGCTCGAACAGATGCATCTGTGAGTGCTGCTCTCAAACCCAGAATCCTGTAATTGCTTCAATTCCCAGTACTAACCACTCTCAATAGAACTACCAAGAAAAATGACTCACAAATCACATAATCCTGACAGACATTTTGCATGAGTATTTCATCAACAGAAGGTGATTTCTTGGGGTGGAAGGAGAACAAGCGTGCAGTTTTATTGGTCATCTAATAAGATCTAATTACAGCCTGCAGCTGTAATTAGAATCACCGACACTCAGTCCTTCCTGCAGCAGCCACGTATTACTGCCCTCTGCTCTGGATCAGGGTGACCTGCACAAGACAGAAAGTTGATGTTCTGTAGTGAGTTACACTTCTGTGCTGTCTCTGAGTCGACACAACCTTACAGCTGCATAAAGCAGGATCCACAGGGGGTGGAGATAGGGTTTGGGTAGTTTGCAGCAAAGTGGAAGGTGAACTTTTATCTTACAATCATCATACTATTATCTTTATTCACATAATTATGCTTCAGTCTGTTTTCTTAAAATACATTCTTCTTTCTGTTAGCCACTTCAGCTTGTTCTGGTCCTTGGTACAGTTCTGACTTTGCACTTGCATTGCTCTGGTATTAGTTGTTGATTCATACATGTCAACTGACATTTCTTAGTCTTCAGCAGGTTTGTGTTGGTTTCAGTAACTTGAAGACTATAGTTCTTCTTGTGCTTGGTCTCTAGCATGAAATGCCCAGAAAGGTTACACATGGTTTAATTTGGTCATACAACATACTGACTGTGGACTGTGTCCATATGGACTATGGAGCTCAGTCCATAAAAAAGGCATTTTTAGTAAGTACAAAGAACATTAGTTCACTGTACATAAGAAATCAAGTGCAGATGTATTTAAGATGTTCAGCCTCAAGTGGTTTGAATATAAAAGTTGCTGGCAGCTGTAATAACCCTAGTGCAAACTGGAGAAAAGCAGCTCCTGCTGTGAACGTGTTATTACAGGTAGATGCCAATAATTATGGATGTCTCTGCTACACCTGAATTCATTTCATCACTGAAAGAATAACCATCATTCTTGGATGAGACCCGTGTCTTTACCACATAGAAAAACCTGGGCTTAATCTCTTTTACATCACAGGATCTTTACTTCCAGCCTGAACTGACTCACTACAAGAGATATATTGAGTTGCTGGAGCAGGTCCAGAGAAGGGCAACAAAGCTGGTGAAGTGTCTGGAACAGAAGTCTGATGAGGAATGGATGAGGGAGCTGGGGTTGTTTAGTCTGGAGAAGGGAAGGCTCAGAGGAGACCTTACCGCTCTCTACAACTGCCTGAAAGGAGAATGGAGTGAGGTGGGGGTCAGTTTCTTCTCCCAGTAACAAGTGATAGGATAGGAGGAAATGGCCTCAAGCTGCACAAGGGGAGGTTTAGGCTGGATATAAGAAAAAAACTTCTTCACAGTGAGTGCGCTCAGGCGTTGGCACAGGCTGCCCAGGGCAGTAGTGGAATCACCATCCCTGGAAGCGTTCACAAACTATGTAGATGAGGCCCTCAGTGACATGGTTTAGTGGTGGTCTTGGCAGTCCTGGGGTAATGGTTGGACTTCAGGATCTTAAAGGTCTTTTCCAAACTATTTTTTTCTATGAGTCTATGATCTGATGAATAAACCAAAGCCCCTTTTCCCACTGTCTCCTGTTCTCACCTCACAGTCACTCCGGTCTACCAAAGTTTTCAGACTCCATTTTACTGCATGAGAAACCACCAAAAGTTTTTTC